AGCCTAATATAACTGGCCTAATTTCAAAATGGTTTCTTTTTCCTTTTTCTCTTTTAGATGCTCCTGAGAAGCCGGAACTTACAGCATCAAGCCAGGTCATTTCTGTGGGACAATCAACCAGCTCTGAGGTGTGGTGGCAGTATATACTGTATATATGTGTATCATTTCCTAAATGCTTTTGCGTATTAAGGAAACTTGTTATGCCTTTTGTCCATGTTTATTAGATTGGCACATGTGTCGCAAAAAACGGTCATCCCCAACCCAGGATTATCTGGTTCAAAGATGGACAGCCACTGCCTGAACACAAGGACAAAAAAGAAAGTATGTGTTCTGGTTAATGAATAGACAGTCCTATATATTGCTCAATGTTAAAGCCTTCGTTCATCTGTAACCCCTAACCTACCTATAAAGCAGTTGTTAACATGTTCCTTGTCATGCTGCCATGACCCGTTTTATTTTGTGAGCATAGTCATTTATTACGTCTACCAATTCATAACCACTTCTCCTAAACGTTTTCTAACGTTTCTCCCTGTCAGAGACCTACATGGTTCCCTCCGTGGTAAAGGAGGCCTCAGGTCTCTCCACTGCCAAAAGCACCCTGTACATGCAGCCCACCAAGGCCGACAAGGACTCTGTGTTCCACTGTGTCGTGGAGTACAGCATGCCAGCAGATCAGATTAAACAGAAGAAGTCCGACACCATCACCATAAACCTTAACTGTGAGTAGAGAAGCACATGCACAGGAGGCTTTTTTCTTTTTTTTTTTTTTTTTTTGTATAACCCTCAGTTGATGTTTCAGATTTCACATTTTAAGATTATGCTCCTAAAAATCTAAAAAAAAACAGATTTCACATTTTAAGATTATGCTCCTGAAACCCTAAAAAACACAACCACATCTACTGTATGATGAGTTGCATAAGTTCCATGTACCACCCATGTTTAATATCTGTTTCTGGTTCATGTAGATCCGTCTGAGGTAGTTACCTTTTCCCTGGTCAATAAGGATCCAGTCAAAGAGGGCGACAGTGTCACAATGAAGTGTGAGACCGATGGAAACCCTCAGCCTGAGTTTGACTTCTCCAAAGATGTGCGTATTTGTCTCTCTCATTTACACGTGGAATACTGTGTAAAACATAATCCTACTGTTACACACTCTCTCTCTCTCGCTTTGTCTCTCTGTCTCTCACTAACATTTTATGTGCCTCCGTCTGCAGGGAAACAGGATTCCCGGTGAGGGAGGTCTTCTCATGCTGAAATCTGCCAAGCGCTCTGACTCGGGTGTATACAAATGCGAAGCCACTGATTTTGACAACTTGGATGCTGAACTGCAAGAAACGATCAACCTTAAAGTCCACTGTAAGTGAACACACAGATGGACACATATGGACAATGAAATATAGTTACATAAAAAAAAAAAAGATTTTCACGTAATTTCTTAATTTCTAAATAATAGTTGAATAGTTTTTATTTAATTTGAGTCAAACTTAAGACAATCTTTTTGGTTTTTTTGGGTTTTTTTTTTTTGTCAGACATTGACCATATGACTGTGACTCCATCTGAGCCCCAACTTGTGATGCTCGGAGACAAAGTGGAGTGGCAGTGTAAGACCAAGGCCTCTGATGCACATACCGTTCAGTGGAAAAAGGTGGGTGTACTTTTATACATTTCTGTTTTTACCCTTAGCCTGCAACTTGCATGTTAATATTGTGTACATTTTTAAAAAACCAATACTCATCCCTCCAGGTCTGCATTATCCCAGCAGGATGTGAATTTTTATTCAAACTTCATCATCTAAAATATCCTGCTTTGTCTGTCCTCTCAAAAAGGCTAAAAACCCATATGTAATAAATTGAAAAGGTCATCTGGTTGGTCAAAAACAAAACTGCTTTAAATATGCCCTACACCAGGGGGTTCCAGACATATGGCCCGCGGGCCAAAACCGGCCCGCTAGGGGGTTCAATGCGGTCGCCTTAATGGATTTTGAAGGTGGAAAAAACGCACAAACACGTCATGTCATTAAATATGAACATTTTCTAATATACTGGTACTAATAAGCATAAAAACAAAATGGGGAAAAACATGGACTTAAAATTGGACTTGGACTTTGTTGAAGTGGTTATGATTGTACTGGTCCGGCCCACTTGACACCTAATCATAAAATGAGTTTGACACCCCTGCCATACACTAAAACACAAAGTGACTACTTCGGGGAGTCAGTACGATCATGATACTTATTGTATCTCTCTTCTTAAGCTTCCATCACGTACGTCTACAGAGATCGTACACTTTTTTTGCTCGGGAGAACTCATTTGTGTCAGTGAGACGAACTTGAATTTCTGTCTTGATGTTAAAAAAAAAAAAGAGAGAGTAAAGTTTTGTGTATTCTCTAAAAGTTAAGCAAAGTGTCACAGCATGGCACTTTGCTTAACTTTTAGCTTAACCAGCTTTTGACCTTGGGCAAGGCTCATCTTAGTGACAGTTGTATTGTGTCCAGTTGTAGCAAGTAAAAAGTAGCTAAAGTTATACATCCTCTGCTGTGATGAGGAAACGTGGTAACATTTAATACTGTATAAAGGTAGAAGACACATTTCAGGGAGGGTCAGTACAAACATAATGTATCAAATTGTTCATTCTTCAAACTCCTATCTGGAGTTGTGCGGTAGGGTGATGATGGTTATAATTATAAGTAACGCTCAATGCAGTAAACGCTTTCTCTGTGAGAAACGTTCACATTGGATACAAAAACTAAAGCCTAAAAAAGGGGTATCCACTCTATTGGAAGTCTATTGGAAGCTGTAAAGCCTAAAAAAGGGGTATCCACTCTCACAGTCTATTGGAAGCTACTTTTTGTGTTTTCTCTGGCTCACAAACCACAAATCGTTAGGATGCCATTGGTATTTGGAGATTTATCTCAGCATCCCATGTTTGTTATGTGCAGAGTGTTCCTCCTGGTTCAGGCTTGTTGTTTTTACCTGTCTATCTATTGTTGTGTCTCTGGAGTGTGATGAAACACACAACTGCTGCATGTTTTGTGGGGAGAATGCGATTGTTGTTGGAAAGAACGAAAGATTCCTATGAGAAGAACTTGGGGGGGAAAAAAAGGTTTCATCGTGGAGGACTCACTGTGATGAGAACGTTCCCTTTCCCATCACAGCAGCAGAAGTACAAAGTGTCAACGTTTAGATGCGTCCGTCTGTTAGTTAATTGGTTTAAATCGTTCGCATTGTTTTTCATGTTTCTTCAGGGTGCAGACGTACTCTCTCAGGACGGCACTCTGTCACTGCAAGATGTTACCTATGACAATGCCGGAGAATACACTTGTGTTGGAGCTGTGCCAGCCGCACCGGGTCTGACTGCCGGCGCAAGTGTGAACCTCACAGTCAAAGGTAACGCACTTCCAGTGTCACCGAGACACTGAGGCTCAGACCTGGTGAATAATTCAGGAAAAAAAAATACTACTAGTGACCTTGCCTTCAACAAAGTTTCAACTTAAAACACTTTTCTTCACCTCAGACTCAAATCAAATTCAAGGTTCTGTCCTCGAGCAAACAATAAGAATGTAAAAAGGCATGTGCAAGGTTTTTAAAAAGTTTACTTTTTACCTTAATGTTGTATTCCTTTCAGTATTCAGGCCATACTTTACTCGCATCATGACCTCATCTCCTCTGACAGCTGTGTTAAATCATCATTATTTACGATTAAGTCCACAAACACAATATTGCATTTTAGTAGTAAATCTACCTCAGTAGTGTGCTGTTCTCAATGACGAGAAATACAGAAAGAATAGTTAGAAACCCTTAAACGTGATACTTGAAAGTATCACATTTAAGACATCCATGACAACCATGAAGGGTTGAAATCATCGAAACACAGTATATTCAATCTTTATCTTTTGGATTTGTGAGAGAAAACCAGTAGTATCAACAAAAGGAAAACCCACCCACACAAACTCCAACCAGAAGGACTGCTTGGTGGGCAGACAGTTTAGTTACAGTTTACTCAACACTGTATCTGTACAAGTTATACGTCAGTATTTATCTTCAGAGAGAGAGAGGTTTCGGTGCACAGCACAACAATGATGTACAGTGTCAGGGTGTGTCGGCTGTTGTTTCGACAGAGCAAGAGGAATGTACGATGGATAGATGGTATCACAGCTGTTTGTTCTTAATCACTCAGCTAGAGATGTATCTTCTCTGTGCTGTGTGTGTTTAAGGGTTTTACTGCACCGACTAAGAAGTTCTTCTCTTTAACTCTTTCTATGTCCCTCCCTCTTCAGGAAAGCCGATGATTGCCACTCCCGTTGCTGGGGAGGTGGGGAAGGAAGGAGACACGGTGTCTCTGACATGCTCGGCCCAGGGCTACCCCACCCCTCAGTTCACCTGGAAGCCTTCTGGAAAAGAGGTAAGACCCCTCAGTTCACCTGGAAGCCTTCTGGGAAAGAGGTAAGAGGGAGGAATGTAAAAAAAAAAATTTAAAAAAATCTCCCCCCCAGTTTCTCACCGCTGAAATGTCCTTCATTAAAGCACAGAAAAGGAAGCGTTTCGGAAAAAAGCAGTCCCACCGCTTATAGTGTTTCCATTTGAGTCGAGACATGAATTTTAAAGATCAATTTATTTTTCATGATCTTCTTCAGATCTTTATCTTGAAAGACTGCCATATCAAACTTTAAAGCTTATGGTGAAAAGGAGAAGGAGGCGGGGAGAGTCAAGGAGCAGCGCTTCAGAGAGGGCTATTTTATATGCATTGATTTGGATGTGGAGGTTATAGAGATGAAAGAAACGTGTTCGAAGAAGTAGCATTTTAAAGAGTTGTACTCTACTGATTGAGGTTTAGGTATGAAATATTCAAAAAGGGTTAAAAAGTTTGTCGAGTAGTAATACAGTAGGTACTGTCAAAGATTACAACCAAAAAAAAACAAATGCAGGAGCGGGTTTTGTTTTTTAACACTACAAGAATTCAACTTAAAAAGTCAAAATAATAAAGGGTTAATAGAAGTACAAAAGAGGAAAGCAAAATCGTACTTACTTTAATAGAAAGCACCAGATAGTGTTCAGTTATGTACTTTTTGAATTTTCACTTTCTGTTCAGTTGGCTGTGTTGACTGTGTAAAACGTTTAAATCACTAATCTGTATTTTAATTTTTTTTTTAATATATTGTCTGGCTTTGGATTAAAGTAGTTGCCTGTGATTTAAAAAAAAAAAAAACCCCGGGTAGAAAAAAAAATTAAATTTTTAAATCATGTGTTTTCGTGTGCACCTTTACTTTTTTCCCAGTCTATATCAATGAAGGAAAACAAGGTTGTGAGCACTCTGACTCTTCAAGCCACAGCCGAGGTCATGAAGAACGGTGTGACCTGCGAGGTCACCAATGAACATGGAACTGATAGCAAGACCTTCCCGGTATCTCTTAAACGAGGTCAGTGTCATTTCCTTTCACATCATCCCCTGGTAAGACCGTACAGGAAAAACAAAAACATTGTAACTAGGGGAGCCTTACACAGTGTTACGTGGAATCAGGTTAACAGCAGGTCGGCAAAGGTCATCTTTTTCCCCTCACGGTTCTCCCAGGTTTAACTAGTCTATTTTTTAACAAACTCCACAAGAAACGATGATCCTGTTCTCTTTTCCAGGGCTGTGAGAAAAAAAAGATAAAATATTTCTCACAGGCCTGGTTTTGGAGTTCTCGCAACCCGTCCTTGACAAATAATCGAAAACCCCTTTGTTGTGCGGTGTCTCACAACTACTGTGTAACCGGTCAGAATTTGAAGCCTTTGTTGTGCGGTGTCTCACAACTACCCTGTAACCGGTCAGAATTTGAAGTTATGAAATTATGGAAATTAGACATTTCACATTCACCTGGCGATACCAGATTCTTTTATTCGATACTATACCAATTACTTTTTTTTGGAACTCTTTTTCGATACAGATATCGATACTTCCATATTATCGATTGTTTTTTTTACCACTATAAAACACGTGGGCACTGGCCAATTAACACCTTTAATATGCATTTTCATAACATATTAGTCATAGCAAATTACATTATTTTAATACAGTGTAACCTAAATAATTGAATTGCCACCAATAGGGGCAAACGTTTGTATATCTTTTAGTCAACTGCAGTTCTGATCCTAAATGTTCGAATCCTGAAATCAATCAAATATCTTCATTTTACGAATACTTTATGAGAGTAATCCATACTTGTGTGAGTATTGATATGTCAAACCACAGAACCAATACTTCCATCACTACTATCGGGGCCAGAAGAGGAGGAATAATAGTAACTTTTATGTGTACTGTTGCCAGAATTAGGCCCTGGAATGAACTGATCTCTGGTCCATTCACATATTTACAGGATGTCTCAGTGTGTGAGGAAATGAATTTGAAATGTAAACACGCACTTGTATTTGCTAAAGGTACGTTTATAGAGCACTATCTTTGCACTAAAAAAAAAAAAATCAGACGAGAAAGGTAGCAAAAGGTTACTACAGAGCGTACTGAGACAGAGTTGATTCTTACGTTTCCGAACTCCTGATGAGTGTGAACGCGTCCTTAATATCACCTGCCGCACTCTTTTGCTTGCCTACACGCACCGTTAGCAACCCTGATTCATCACTTCTTTCCCTTCTCTCTGTGTTCTCTTCCTTGCAGCAATTGACAACTCGGCCAACAGAGGTAGAGCCTTCTCCCTCCTCCTCCTCCTCCTCTCCTCCCTTCTTCTCTCAGGACTCTTATTTGTACAGACCCTGTAATTTAGGAATCATGCCCCCTCCACCCATCTCTTTTTGCCCCTGCCCTTTCATCACACACACACACACACACAGAGTACATATGCATAGAAACACACACAGACATACACACACACCTTCCTCTTCCTCGTACTGTAATCATGTATATTTGCCCTCTTGCTACCAAACACTGTGGATATTGTATATTGTTCTTCTTCTTCTTCTTCTTCTTCTCTTGTCACCTTTGTATGATGTCTGTCCTAATTTTGTGGATGCTACTATACTTTTGTGGCCCCTTAGGGACAATAAAAGACTCTATTCTGTTCTATTCCTTCCTATCCTCTCTTTGTTTCCTCACTGTGTGTGTGTGTGTGTACTTTGTAGTGCCTCTACTTTCTGACTGCCTTCCTGTTCCCGTCTTCTCTCCGTTGTTGTCATTTTTGCTTACCAGAGTGCTTTGCGTAGTGTGCTGTATAACTTTAGCTTTAAGTGTGATACGTGTTCTGCTGTGTGTGTGTGTGTGTGTGTTCGGTGTTTATTTGCTTGGCACTGCTTGAGGACTCAGAAACTCTCTTTTTTTCAAAGTGCTGCTCTCTGGAATCCCTGTGTTTAAGTCAGGTCTGTATCGCTAACCCTATTGACATGGTAGTATGGTGTACGTCCACAACCTCTGAATCCATGTGCCAATGTGCGTGTCAATGTCCGTGCTCACACTTGCACACAAGTGACTGTATTTGTTTCTATGGTGTACGTGTTAGCTTACTTGTATCACTGGACTTGTGAACGGCATTTGAGAGCAACGCAAGGATTATAATGCACATTTTATTGATTCATGATGTTTTTAAATGTTCAGACTGTCATGATGTACATATATGTAGATACATATATGTATATATATATACATACATACATATATACATATATATACATACATACTGTATATACATACATACATACATACATATATACATATATATACATACATACTGTATATACATACTATATATATATACATATATACATGTATATATATATATACATATATACATATATATATACATATATACATATATATATACATATATACATGTATATATATATATATATATACATATATATATACATATATACACATATATATGTATATATGTATATATATATCATGAACTAATTTCAGTTGAGCAGCTAAAAGATGATTACATTTCAGGAGTGGAGTTTAAACATCAGTCATCCTTTTCGGAGGACTGACGCCACAGTGTTCAATTTTATTTTATTTTCATAGATTTTTTTTCATATCAGCAGTTGTATCGCTGTGTGTATTGCTCAGGTGCTGCAGTACGATTCGCTGATTCCCGTTTCTCAATTTGAGCCTGTGACCTTTCTCTGTCATTTCGACAAACACACGAAGCGAAGCAATACCATTTTATGCAACAGGAGATAGATCCAGGGACCTAGTTAATCATACGATACACGCTGAGGATTGTGTCTGTATGAAATGAGTGTAAATACTCTGCATAGGGCTTAATATAAGAATTTCAGATGCTCTTCACTAACCACTGCATGTCTGAATATAATGGTACAAGTGCAGTGATACAAGTGTATGTAAACAGATTCATAATGTGACGCTCAGTTTGTTTTCTGCCTTTTGTCAGCCGTTAGTGTAATCTGTGACTATAAAGGCCCTGTTATGGGGTCCCATCACATTCAGTCATTGCATTCAAAAGTTAATCTAACCCCAACATCCCCCCCCCCCTCCTTCTCCTTCACCTCTTCCCTTTCTGCCCGTCTACCTGCCAAAAAAAACCCCACAAATACTCCCCTTTCCCCTTTCATCTCTCCCCAATGCCACTGATCCCTCAACTGCCCTCCCATCCCTCCCTTGTTCTTCCTCAATTACCCCACCAAACCTCCATACCCCCCTCCCCTCCACGTGTCCATTGTGGCGCTATAGCTGACATGCAGCAGGGAGGCTCCAGCAGTGTGGTTATCGCGGTGGTGGTGTGTGTTTTGCTACTCCTGCTGCTAGTGGCACTCCTCTACTTCTTGAACAAGAAGAACAAGCTGTCCTGTGGCAAAAAGGACAAGATGGAAGTGTGAGTACCCCCACTGTGTCACTCATTTGCTGTAAACCAATGGAATTAACCGGGTTTTTATGGGTAATAAAGACATAATCCATATTCAAAAAAAATCAATGTAGAGATGTTTTTTTTTTACTGTTGAACATTCTGACTTTATCTCTGGTATATTAGTTTCAATCATTTTTGTTTTGGTTTTTTGGTTTTTTAAATGCACAAAATCATCCAGCTAGCATAAATTAAAGCAGCTTTAGTGTTACACTTTAATTAAATCTTGTTGGACAATGTTATTGCCTTCCTTTTGTGGATACATGTCTGACAAAAAAAAAAAAAAAACTTACAATGAGTTTTACTGTTTGACAATTATTACACTAATGACTAATAGGGAGTTAGTTAAAAGTATTGTGAACAAAAGTAGTCAGATGCTGAGTGGTTTTTCTTCTGGACAGAGATGAGAAGAACAGGAAACACCAGTCACCAGAAAGTTCACGGATTCATTACTAGGAGGAAAGCAGCCAAGATAAGCTATCCCAGCTGGGACAATTACAAAAAAAAAAAAAAAAAAGAAAAGACCAGAATAACATTAGCCCGGTGGATGACAAATGAGCAGGAGCTCAGAAGGAAAGGAGCAGGAAAAAGGCAGAGCTGTAGGCAAAGACTGGAAGGATTGGGATGACTACAAGATAGGGAATTGGAGTTTTTACTCAACACAGTCCTGCAAAAGAGAGTGTTTGCTTAAGAATTAGAAATTGCGGAAAATGCAAAAATGCTGCTAGAATGGTGTAAAGTTAATCAGTCAGACATCAAGGTTAGGGATGGCTCAGTACAACTTTATAATGTCCAATGCTGTATTTTCTCAAAATGGACTTGTGGATTTGGCACATCCTGACCTATGCAAGCAAATGCATTTCTTTTGTGCCAATTCAAACATTGGACATGTTTTAAATGCTTAAAAATAAATACTAGTACTATGTGTCAGCTGCATCGATAAGCTCCTTGACAAAACCTTAACCCAGGAGTCTCCCCAACTATAGTTCTCTGCACAGACACCTTGGGGACCGACACTAAAATAAAATGAAATAAAAATCACATTTTTGCCTAACATTATCATTTGATGTTTATCTTGGAATCAAGTCATGACCCAGATTGGACGGTTCAGGGGGCTTTGATTTGTCCCGCGGGCCGCCAGTTAAACACTGCCCAAACCCATGATGTTTTGTGAAGTTACAGCAGTGGTATTTTGATTATGTGACAATATGATATAACGCAATTCTTTCTTTCTCTCTGTCTGTAGGACCAGCGCACAGAAGAACAATGACATCGTAGTGGAGATGAAAACAGACAAAGCCAACGAGGAGGCCGGTCTCCTTAACAAGAGACCGTCCACAGAACAGGTCAGAGATGTTTGTTAATCACTGTATGGTCTTTGTATTTACACTGTATAAGCAATCGACTTGTGAATTACCCTATTTCAACTCATTATTACATTATTATTTTATAATTATTCAGGATAAATATGTTCAAAAATATACCCTTGACGGTAAAATATTGCTGAATTCAGGATAAATATGTTCAAAAATATAGTCGCTGATACCCTTGATGGTAAAATATTGCTGGATTGTTAACAAAAAGTGTGGGGGAAAAAATGTGCACTATTGCGTCAAAACTATTTAAAAAAAAATTGGTTTATGTCTGCGTATTCACAGAAGTGTATTTGTTTACATGTCTGTGTTATTTTTCGTTTACAGTGATGACCTCAGTTGAGGAATTCGATCAAAATAGTGTTTACATGTCTGTGTTATTTTTCGTTGACAGTGATGACCTCAGTTGAGGTCAAAACAAGGATGAAGGAAAGGGGGACAACAGTGATCAAGACAACCGGGCTTTGCTTCATTTTACTGAGGAGGTGTAGCAGGGAAGTGGGACATGTGTTGGGGTCATTTGGAGGAACAGCATGTTATGATTTTTTTTTTTTTTTCAAACACGGAGTAGACGGATGCACACGCATATACACAATCACTTTTAAAAGACCAACTGTTTTCCACTTTTTTTTTTCACTCACTGCTCTACTCCAGGTTTAAAAAAAAAAAAAAAATCATAACGTGTCTTATAATCACACGTTTGCTTGTCTTTAATCAAAATCTGCCAGTACAAAAACTCTTCATTCTTCACTCACATCTTTGACTCCACTGCAGAGCTGGACGAGGCGGACACAGTTCAAACCCAGCGGCAAATTCTCTATCTACCCCAAACAAAGACAAACAAATTGCCATTACGTCGCTGTGATTTTTATTGTGCATTTTGCACTGCTTTATATTAAACGTCTACTCTGTACTGGAGTCTGCACTTAAGTGTTTTTCTGCCGGATTCAGCAGAAATGTTTGCAGGCCTGTCATTCCACCTTTTTTTTTTTTTCCCCACTAACCAATGATGATTTATGCTCACAACATATATTCACTGTTTGGCATGGTTACAGTCATTTTGGAAACGCGCTATTTGCCAATTTGTTAAATTGCAGCTGTAAGTATTTATGTGCTTGTTTCCCAATCTCTCTAATCTGCTGACAGAAGAAACAGCTCTGACGTCATAATCTTTTGGCTAATACTTTTGTATTGAACATTAATGCTAATAGGTTGCAACAAATCTGTTCTTGCCATTTGCAACACACATGCGTATCGTTCCACTTGTGGCCAAAAAAAAATCACTCCCTTTCGAAATCTTGGCAGAAGTTATACTAACTCACAGGGTTTTCAGTCACAATACTATGAATTTTTTTCTTCTATCCAAAGATCAAAACTTTAAAACATAGTTGTGCGACAGTTACCGTTAACATCTATCTAGACGTAGTGAATGCAGATGTATCTGATATAGAGTAAAACTATTGACTATAAGTGATGGACATCTTCCTTAGGGCGAAGGGACCTTGTAGTTTCCTTAGTCTAAGTGCAGTACTAATCCTAAACTGGCTGCAAGAAACTCAAAACGTTACTCGTGTGTCTTTTTGGTACAAATTTATAAAAAAAAATTCCTCCTTGTCACTGTCTGCCAGTACAGTTTGAAGTACTTTTCTTATTAATAAGATGTTGGAGGAAGAGAACGGTAAGCTGTCAATTACAAGATGGCAGAATTTGAGGCGGAGAAACCGAGCCAGTCACAGATGAACACAGTGTATTATTTAAAACTGTCTGGTAGCTGCTTAGTTACTGTTGTATAATTCTTGTTTTTGGTTCTTGTTTTTTGTTGTTGTTGTTGTTGTTGGTGTTGGTGTTAGAGTTGATTTCACTTTTCTTTCTTTGTAAAGGGGGGGGGCAAAGAGGAGGGGAGGGCAAGAATGTTACAAAACGGTGATCATACTGAAGGTGTATTATTTCTTTGTTTTCACAGAAACCGCCAATGTTTTTTTTTCTTTTCAAGTTTGAAATATGGCATGGAAGGGAAATGGGTGGAAATGGAGTGATGTGATGTACCTAATCTGTTTGGTTTTTTGTTTGTTTGTTTTTTTTTACCAAAAAAGAATCTTTTTTTCAAGTGTCATAGATAGAATGTTTCTGTGTCCAAGAGACATTTGCAGGATGTATAACTCCGCAGTACTGACTTTCCTGTGTTATATGTACATTGTTAACACACCTGAGAGCTTAATGGCGGGATGACGTGGCCTTGAACTTTGTTGTACACTGGAAACAATGACCTTGATGCTTGCAAAGGTCACCTTAAACCACTATCTGTGCCCACAAGGCTCCTTTACTGACCATCAACTGATCATGTCGTTTGACTTTTCTTTTTTTTTTTTTTTCAACCATTTTTTTAAAGTTAAATTTTTTATATGAACATATTGTGATATGCAAATTGGTTGGATTCTTTTATTTTGCAACTACTGATTTTTAGTTTCCCCCCATGTTTTTCCACATGCTGTAGTAGAGGATACATTTTCAGTTTTCCCATTTTTTTTTATATATATATAAGTGAATCTCACTTTTATTTCTTCCCCCTTTTGTACACTGTATATTTTGTGGTACACTGTTGTGATCCCTGTGCTGTGTTGATGTATCTTTTCTGTTTCAGCTGTGTCAAATTTATAAGAAAGAAAAAAAAACACAGTCAGATGGTCTTGAGTGTTTTTTTCTTTTTTTCGTATTCTCTCTTATGTAATCTTCATTACAAAACATTTACGAACCTTAGGGTTCATGTGAGTTTTTAAAATCATTATTTGATTAATGAAATCTTGTTCGGTTTAAATCCTTAAAAAAAAGATAACAATTTCAACCATATTGTTTACTTCATCTCCTACGTCCTTTTTCCAGAATGTCATCTATCTTTTCTCTAAGTCTCCACCTTGTCTCCAAACGGCTCGCCATTAGCGGTTCCTCTGACCCTTTCTAACCCTGTCCGTCCCAGTCAACATTTCTCCATCTTTTTTAGTTCTTGCAACATCTTCTTCCTCTTGGGTCACTTTCTTTAACAACCTTTCTGCTGATCTTCATTTCTCCCTTCTACATTGCTGACCTCAGCTGATCTCAGCAAGACTACAATGTCTTCCATGGACACTATGCTCCTATCTGACCTCATCTGTCAACCTTTATATCACCATGGCAAACAAGAATGGGCACAGAGTAGCTACTTTCCTTTACTTCTCTGCATCTGCAGCTCACTGAATTGAGCCTTTTGCCACAGCCCAGCTTCTTCAACTCATTCGTTAACATGCCTTCGTCAATCATTAATTAATTTCATACCTCTGTAGTTACTGCAGATCTGCACATCACCCCCGATCTTGAAAATTGGTACAAATAGTCTGCTTCATTTCCTCTCATCCTTCATTTCCCTGCTCAGCCTGATCCATTATCTGCTCCGTTCTTTCTTCCCCATTTCCCCCCCCTTTGAGACGCTGCTCAAATTAGTCCTTCCACCTATCAACATAATCTGCTGTATGTTCAAGTCAGCTCTGTTTTTCTCTGTAGGCAACATAAAATGCTCCGGTATATAAGCTGCAGTGCACCAACAACAAGCCACGTTACGTAAATGCTGCCGATGCACTAAATACACAATACAGTAGAAGCACAAATATGAACAAATCTTGGTATTTAGTGGTCTTTTAGGAAAAATACATACATTTGTAGCTTAAAAATAATTACGCGCTGGTTAGCTACACACTAGGTTGAGTAGCAGAGCAACTTGATAACAGGCACAAACCGCCAAGATTATAACTTGGAACAATTTTTCCGAGCCCCTCTAGCTCCCCCTAATGGCCTCCCAGGGAGCATCCACTTTAAAAACACTGGTTGCAAGGTTTGAATAATAATAATATTAATAACAATAATAAAAGACATCAACAGTGTCTTTGCAACTGACACAGGCTGCCACAGGAGGCACCATTAAGTATGTTGTTGCAATTCCCAGGCTGCCATACAGGAGGCGCCATTAGGGGTATGTGGTTATATTGAGAATCAAAACGTTCAAAAATCAAAAGTCTCTGCTCTCTGCTTGCAAGACAGGCATGCTTACTGCTACACTATGGAACCACGCTGGTATAAAAAAATAAAAATAAAAAGTTACGCAGCCAGGCACTGCCCAGACGCCAACAGAGAGAGAAGGGAGAGAAGGTTGACCCACCCAAGGAAGGATGACCCACCCAAGTAAGGATGACCCCCCCAAGTAAGGTTGACCCACCCAAGTAAGGATGCCCCCCCCAAGTAAGGATGACCCACCCAAGTAAGGATGACCCCCCCAAGTAAGGTTGACCCACCCAAGTAAGGATGACCCCCCCAAGTAAGGTTGACCCACCCAAGTAAGGAAGACCCACCCAAGTAAGGTTGACACACCCAAGTAAGGATGACCCAACAAAGTATGGATGACACACCAAAGTACGAATGACACACCCAAGTAAGGACGACCCACCCAAGTATGATGAGGTAATTTAAGAGCTAAAGCTTAAAAATATTGCTATTAAATGTTATATTATTATAGATCCCCACACATTTCATCAGGAATAAAAATACTCTGATATTTAACTATAAATGTTTTGAACATCTGCAAATACTTTGAAAGGGAGTGATATGAAGTACCTACGAAGCCTCACCTTTAATCATCTCATCACACACAAAAACAAAGCTCATCAGAAATGAGACCGTCGTTGTCTCGTCTGCGTACTGTGGCTCCTAAATCGATTGTCAGTCTGCGCAGAGTTTAATCTCTATGAGAAAAACAACATTATGTAAATGTAGCCCTCACATTGATTGGTGCCTTGATTTGTTGTGACAAAAGCACAAAAAAAAAAAAAACAAAACTGGGAGGCTTGTGTTTCGCATTGATAGCTACATAGAGGACAGCCTCACTGCTGCCGTCATGATGCAGCACTCTCTCCTCCTGCTGCTCTCCTGTGTAGAAGTGAGCTGAAATGAAGCCATCACTTATGAGTAAATGGTTTGGTGGCGTTACGCATTCATCAGCAGCAGTTAGGCGGATGGCATTCATCAGCAGCTGCTGCTTTAAGCATGATTGCTCTCTGAAATGTATTTAAAAATATATATATATATATATATGGAAAGATGTGATGTGGTAACACATCACTTTAATCCTGCGCACTAATCAGCTTCTTTTAACAGTGACCTCTAACCTTGCCCCTCTTTTCCACGCATTCACCGGTTACGAGCCATCAGATACAATGTCCTCATGCACACGCACACATGCGCGCGAATGCCGGACTTCCATTAGTGAATTACAAGACATCTCATCAATGTGACCACTATAAGTCAATATGTGCTCAGAATACAGAGTAACAAGGCCAGTAGTATGAGAGAGAATTTACTGGAGAACATCACTTGACAGTGTAAGGCTTACGCTCATATGGCAAAAGTGAAAAAATATTCTGTTTCCTACAGAAAAAATAATCTCTAAGATCAATCAAATGTAGGACTTACCAAAATAATAATAGTAATGAATGAAATCTACCTATGTAGCTACGTAAACGCTGAGTCATACTTTTGCATGTCTTTCTTGCCTTTTTTTTCCATATTAATAATTTCATCATTTGGACTATTCACAAATAAATACTGGTGTGAAACTCGTGAGTAAATCTGGTCTTATTTGTCTTACGGTTCCAGCAGTACATGGCAAAGAAGGTTTTTGTCACATTTGGAATAGTTGAATTTTCTCGATTAATTGTGATTAATTGCGATTATTCCACAGCTGTTTTCTAATAAAAAGAACTGTTGTTTGGATCGAGGATTGCGATTATTCCACAGCTGTTTTCTAATAAAAAGAACTGTTTGGATCGAGCAGGAGCAAGATTAATGGCATAACATCAGCCCTGTGGATTACTAACGTAAATCATTTATTATTCAAACCTACACTTATACTTATAAAGGTGTTTATATTACATTATACTGATTTGTAATTAGATCACCAACTGTCTTTTTAAACTTGCTTTTTCCATAACAAAGTCAAAGTAAACTCATCCACTATAATCATAGTAAGATAATCATCTTCGTCAGGACTCATTAAATGTTTCATTCTATCATCTGCAGTCCACCAAATGGCATAAATGTAGAAAAATAATTGGCCATTTTAACTAATATTTAATACAGGCGGATTCTGACTGAAATGATTGAAATTCAACATAACATGTAAGTGAGTAAGACCGAAGATAAGAGGAAAGACAACCACGAGTGGTGACCAAATATAGAGCAGGAAATTCTTTGTTAAGATGCTATAACTCTGCATTGATATGACACAGGAAGTGGTGTGTAAAAAATGAAAACAAGAGTTTGAAATGGACGGAGGGAAGCAGTGGAGGTGTGTTACAGAGAGAGATAAAGCATCACAGAAGAGCCGTGTGATGAACGTGTTTATCTCCCTCACTGCGGTGGTTTAATATCCTGTGTGCCCTGAATGTCTCCAGTCTTTGGAAGTAAATACACCAGACAGAGCAGAAGACACTGTAGCCACTGTACTCGACTCACGTCTCTGAGTCACCTTTATGGGCCCGAGATTTATTTGCTGTAATTCTCGGTCCGAATCTATTTTACAGCCACAGTGATTTGATCCACTAATTGTGTCTGTAATGGTCAGGTTTCACCAAGCAGTAAAAGTTTGGCTGAGCTCTGAAACTTTAGTGATGAAAAACAGTAAAGTGAGGCCAGAATCTAGGATCAACATAAAAAGACATGCATATTCTAGCTAGTATTCTTGTTTACTAAATGAAAATTGTATTCACCTTCCTGAAAATGCAGGAAACAACAAGGATCAAGATTGGGTTTTAAAGGAGCATCAACCAACAGCAGGTTTCCAAAACGCCTAAACCAACAAAACATCAGACCACATAGATTTAGCGACATATGTCAGAAATTATTATTATTAATTATACAGTAATAATAATTCTATTCTTCTTAAATAATAAAATAACAGAAATAATGGCCTTCTATCTTTATCTGCTGAGAACAGTAGAAGCCTGTGTGTGTGATAACCACAGCTCCATCCTACTGGTGGGAGTAACCTGCATTCAGACCCAGTGTTTGAGGCCGTTGTGCTCAAGGACACAAAGTTTCTCCCTTGTCTGCACGACAAGCATATAACTGAGTGTATCAAAAACATTTTCTTTCCGCTTCTCCGCACACTGTAATATCAGTTTCATTTCTGCAAAAACCAAGACCATATAAATACACACTCTAAGAGTTCACTAGCCTCTATTCATTAAGCTTTTAACCACAATCCTGGTGCCATTAGGATGTTGCGATCTGAAAACTGCTCATCTGGGGGACAGTGAGTGAGAGCTGACAGGAAAGAACAGTTTTCCTCTTGACATCTAATGATTTGAGATGGAAAAACTCTTTAGGCAGTAGATCGATCAATAAAAAAATAAATAAAATAACTTGAGTCTCCATGAGAAATCATCCAGGTGGGGTGTCATTTTTCCAGGTCAATTCTGAATTTGAAACTTTCTTAAATGTTTTCTAAACTTAACTTAATAGCATTTTCGAGGTTTTGCCATCAAGGTTCTATTATTGGCAAATGGCCGTGTTAGCTCTGAAACTTTCAATTTATCTTTTTTCATAACATGGCTGAGTGTTGAACCATAATGTTTGTGGAAGACCTCTAGCT